CTGCAGCAGCCAAAAGGTTTCTCCACACAGAGGGATTACATTCTACTCATTCTAGAATTTGTTCCTTGCTTCATTTTAGCATTATCTATCTTGTAATGTCCCTCTTTCAGAGAAAGTTAAATTTATGTAGCAAGTGCTGCTTAAAATGGTGAGTTGAACTCTTGCTTTTCGCTGAGAGAAAATAGTGTTAAACCTACTGAGTTTGCAGTTTCAGGCAACATTCTATTCAGAAAGAATAAGTAACCATTTTTCAAGAGCATCTTCAAATATGAGATGTTTGGAAGGAATTTATAAAGTAATCAATGGACTCTTGCCATATATCACTTCTAACGGTTGGTTTCTTGTTTGATTATTTTTTTTGGTGGGTTTTATTTAGATTTGATGCAGGGTATCCCTGTAACAGAGGACCTTTACTCCATATTTACAAAAGAGAAAGAGCATGAAGCGCTGCACAAGGAGAACCTGAGAAGCCATCAGGAATTGATCAGCCAGCTGTTGCAGAGCTACATGAAACTGCTCTTACCAGATGATGAAAAATTCCACGGAGGATGGGCACTTATTGACTGTGATCCAAGGTTTGCGCAATAAAGTCATAACTGATCAGCTGCTACTATGAGATCTCTGTTAATTACTACTGATGTTAAATGATTTTTGATAGCTGATGTGTTAACAGAATGAAAGCGGACAGTTTTATAGAATGACAAGAGTCTTTGAAGGGATGGAATACTTGTAAAAGGAAAGGTCCTCTAAACATGTGCTTTTTCCAAATTGCCATCAAAATGGTGCATGCTGGAGTTACCTTTGAGACCTCACCTGGAAATGCATGCATTCAGTTAATATTGCCAAAACGTGGTGAGCACCACGAAGAGAACTTCTGACCACCCTTAGTTTAGAAGGGGGTGTTTGAGGACCTGTTGTTCCTTATTAATTTATAGGGAAAGTATAACTTGACTTCAAAGCCTTATCTGATCAGATTAAATTCTTGTGTAATGAGTCAGTAGTAGAAAAGCCCAGATTTCTCTTCATGAAAAGCAGTGGGCATGAACTCTAACTTCACTGATAAGTTGTCTTATCAAGTTCAGAGTTCACTGACTTGTAAAAGAAAAACTGGTTAGATCTTCTGCAGGTTAAACTTCAGCGTCTGAAAAGAGCAAAGCAGGATGTTACGATGGCTATTAAAAGCACAGACTTGTCACCTTAACTGAGTTTGAGATTTTTCTCTCTCTCTGTTAGTGTTTTTAATAGCTTGTGGGTTTTCTGTTTATTTTTGGACCTGCTGCTGCCCTATTTGAGCTATTGGGTAACTCCAGGTTTGAGAGAGTGGTGCTTATATGGATCCACTTATTGTGTGGCAAGTCTAGTGGTGCATCACCTTTTGGCTTGTGAAGTGTCGCAAATAACTTGGTTTCTCAGTGGCTGTGAAGAGGTAGCAGCATCACACAAGATAACATACCATAATTGAAACCTCATGTTTGGAATCTGCCTTCAGTTGTAAAAGAATGTCTCTAAAATACCCTGGGGATGGGTTACAGCTGTGCAAATAAACCCCTTTCCCCTGTATTAATTCTTCTTCCCCTTCCTTAGTCTCATTGATGCCACTCATAAGGACGTGGATGTTCTGCTGTTACTTTCTAATTCTGCCTACTACGTGGCCTAGTAAGTTACCAGTTTCTCTTACTAGGTGTAGTTTATTTCTATTAGCTTTGTTTTACATGAGCAGGAAGCATTAAATTCTGATTCTTTTTTTTTTCTAGTTATGATGATGAAATCGACAAAGTGAATCAGTACCAAAGGTTAAGTCTCGAAGCTCTGGAAAAAATAGAAATAGGTAAGAATGTAGTCACCATATATCTTTCTTGAATGATTTTAACAATAACTTGAACACTTATTGAAGTATCCTACAGATCTATTGAAACAGCAAACCTTGACAGATGGCAAATATCCCATGGAGTCCACCATAGCTAGAAATGTGCTTTCTTGCCAGAGTTGAGTCTGTGTTCTGTCACAGTCCTGTCTTTTCTGCTTGAAATGGAAACTTTGATCACTGGTAGGGTTCTAAAATTTTCCCTCTTTCAAAACTCTTAAACATGGATTTATCAAAACAAATCTCCTTATTTATCGAGTGGCAGTAACAATTTGATCAACTTCTGAGTCACAGGTATGTGCATTCAATACACTGCTCCTTTGATCCAAACACAGCAGCTGGTTCTGAATTGTACTTTAGATCTGTTTCACAGCTTTTTAAAACTCTTTCTCTAGGTCTGATAGGAAACATGTTATGAAATCACCTTATGCTGATTAATTTATTGACTGAAGAACGTAACATCTGCAGGCTAAATCCAGCACTTCCAGCTGAAAGTATTAAAGTTTATGTGATATCTTTGACTTCTCAGATGAAAAAGGTGTTCTAGCTGGAGAGAAGGGAGGGAAATTTCTGTGGCCCCCAGTGTGTGCCCCCCTCCAATAGTTTTATCCTCCATTACACAACACATAATGATTTCATTGTTTCCTTACTGTGACTTTCACTGTGTATGTGCAATTTCTAAGAGTTCAGCTGAAAAGTCTCTCACTGGTGTACTGTGGAGATCTGCAATTGTTGTGGTTTAACCCCAGCTGGCAACTAAGCCCAATACAGCTGTGTACTCCCGTGCAATGGGATGGGGGAGAGAATCAGGAAAGTAAAAACAAAGAAAACTCGTAGGTGAGATAAAGACAGTTAATAAATAAACCAAAAGCCACAGGCGCAAGCAAAACAAAACCAGGAATTCATTCCCTTCTTCCCATCAGCAGGCAGGTGTTCAGCCATCTCCAGGAAAGCAGGGCTCCATCGCGCATAACAGTTTCTTGGGAAGACAAACACCATCACTCTGAACATCACCCCTTTCCTTCTTCCCCCAGCTTTATATGCTGAGCATGATGTCATATGGTATGGAACATCCCTTTGGTCAGTTGGGATCAGCTGTGCCGGCTGTGTCCCCTCCCAGCTCCTTGTGCACCCCCAGCCTACCAGCTGGTGGGGTGGTTTGAGGAGCAGAAAAGGCCTTGGCTCTGTGTAAGCGCTGCTCAGCAATGACGAAAACATCCTCTTCTTCCCCCAGCTTTATATGCTGAGCATGATGTCATATGGTATGGAACATCCCTTTGGTCAGTTGGGATCAGCTGTGCCGGCTGTGTCCCCTCCCAGCTCCTTGTGCACCCCCAGCCTACCAGCTGGTGGGGTGGTTTGAGGAGCAGAAAAGGCCTTGGCTCTGTGTAAGTGCTGCTCAGCAATGACGAAAACATCCCGGTGTTATCAACACTGTTTCCAGCACAAATCCAAAACAGCCCCATACCAGCTACTAAGAAGAAAATTAACTCTACCCCAGCCAAAACCAGCGCAGTGACACATCGTGATGCACAGAACACAGTTGAAACATCTAGGCCAAATACTGTATAAAACCAAAAAGACCCACTCTGTTTCATGATCTAGATGTGATGTAGCGCATTGAAGAGTTGAAGCACTTGGTCTAAATCTGGAAACTTGCGTTACTTCCACTTGGTTAAAATATCTTAGCTTTCCCTTTAACCCTTGCAGAAGCATACCCGAAAACACAGGTGTAGAATTTTTTTCTCCTATTTGAAAGGGTGATCTGTAATAAACAGACTGGATTATAATAAACATACTCAGAGAGTCTAATTGCTTTTCAAAAGTAATTGATTGTTTAGTTATTGTGAAAGTCTTTAATTTAAAATGTCTATCCTACTGTGCAGAAAACAAAGCGTTTTATGCTGGAAGGGACTGTCAACTCTTCTGTATGTTTTGGTACAGTCAGAAGGTTTCTCATCTCCTGGTTCATTCCTCAGGGCCTGAGCCTACTCTCTTTGGCAAACCCAAGTTCTCTTGCATGAGGCTGCATTACAAGTACAAAGAAATGAGTGGATATTTTCACACTCTTAGAGCGGTGGTACGCAACCCAGAAGAAGATGGAAAAGGTTTGTTTCATATATAAAAAATTCATACATAAAAGTGTATTTAGAATACTAGTGTTTCTCTAGGAAACATTTTTTCCATTGCTCTTAGAATAACTTCTGAAGAAGGATAAATTTTAATCCAGTTGTGTAGGGTGGGGAACCAACAAAAAATCCTGTATGTGGCTTCCTGTGTGAACACTGGAATATTACTGTTTTAATATAAAGAAAACTAACTTTTAGAAATGGCTTTAAAGCAACACAGCTCTCTAGAATTGAGACATTACCATGTCCAGGTCTTTACTGCTCCAAAGACAGATAAAATGAACTTAAGAGTGGAAGAAATTGATTTATTTAGTGAAATTAATGTCTAGAAATGTTCTTGCTTCTTGTTTAACTAAATTAAATGAACACTAATAAGGGAAAAATGAAACTTCTTACCTGGAGCACTGAGTTTTGTCAACAAGGATTAGAATAAATATAGCTGCTTTGCTTCCCTCCACAAATGCTGAATCGTGGCAGTGATTCAGTCACACCCAGTGTTTAGGGCTTAAGTTCTTTAAGCTTATTTTGTGAGCTTGAAATCAGAATTGCAACTTGTAGGCTGAAAGGGGGGTAAAAACCCAAAACAAACCAACAAAACCACACAAACTTAATTATGTCACAAAGAAATGAGCCCCTAACTTTAGATTTTGGAATACAGGATTTTAAGGGGTTTTTTAAAGGTCTGACAGGCTGCTAATTGGATTTCAGACACTCTTCAGTGCATCGCAGAAATGCTGAGAATCACAAAGCAAGCGCTGGGGTTCGACGTGCCCATTATTGAGAAGAAGCTGGAGAGGTGAGCACTTAAATGACCTGAACCTTCCGTGTCCCTCTCTTGCTCTCAGTGGCTAAAGGTACATGGTGAATCATATGTGATGCCTAAAAGAAGTGTCCGTGTCTGGCTACTGGGCTAAGAGTCATTGTGTCTGTGGGCTGCTTCCAGTAACTGTCTGCAGAATACTCTTTTGTACATGCGTGCTTTTAGACAATATACACTTCCAAATGTAAGTAAAATAACAAAATACTGCTTTTAGACAATATACACTACCAAATGTAAACAACATACTGCAAATCAGATGGTTCATGATCAGTTTGTCAAATTTAATTTTTCTTATCTGAACTTAATGTCTGTTTCTGTAGCAAGAAGACAACCTGTGAAGTGTAAATCTGGTTTGGATTCCACTGCAGTTGAGTGTTTAATAAATCCAGATAACATCACAGGTCTTGTGTGAAGAAATGGCTGAAGTTAAACTTGTGAACTCCTAGGTGTTAGTCAGAACAGCACAGAAGTTCTCCTTTTGCAAGTCTACTAAGGGGAGGTGGCACATAAAGACATAGTTGATCATTAAAAGTACTTAACAGAATTTTTTAGGTAGCTTTCTCTAAGCTGTCAATTGTCTGTAATTAAATAGAAGTAACCTTTATCTACAAACATTGGTGAGTTGTTAACAGTGAGGAAATAATTTACAAAGGACAATGGAGTAGAAGTACGAGGATGGCTAGCTGAAGTTCAGTGTGTTTTACCAGTTCACGTGTGATCTGTTGTGTTATTTTGGACTCTTCCAGTTCAGACTGTGTGTTGTGCAGCACAATTGTCAATTGTCAAGCGAAAACTATTAGGACACATATTTCAGTAACTTTCCTTCTGTATTTGATTATTGGGCTGCTACTTCAGCTGCTTTTCCTCGCTGAGTAGAAAGTGTAGCAAGAAAATCTTGCTCTTTTTTGCAGGTACTAAGACTGAATATTTGCTAAATCTGGCTACTGAGTACAGCATACACAAAGTCAGTTACAAATATAGAGAATTCAAATCCAGTTCCATTTAAAACCTAAAAATGCCTGCAGAAGCTTGCTTTTCCCCTTGTTTGGCTACCATTCTGTAGCAACCCTCTCTGATTTTGTTGTTTTTTGATTAGCTTATATGGATATATGATATAGGTATCGAGAGAGATAGGCTTATATAGATATGTATATAATTATGTATGGAAAGGATAACGTAGCTACCAGAATGTTCATCTGTATTATGGAAACAGACTGGAAGGTGGTAAATAGTGTTTATAAATGAGCCTGCCTTGACTGTACATTAGATATTTTGTTCCTTTTCTTCCAGGAAGAGCAGTAAACCTCATGAGGACATCATTGGCATTCGGTCTCGGAACAGAGGGTCCCTGGCTCAAGGCAAGAATTATTTACTGAGCAAGTTCTCATCTCTCAATCAAAAAGTGAAACAAACCAAATCCAATGTAAACATTAGCAATCTTCGGAAGTTGGGCAGCTTTACCAAACCTGAAGTGAAAGTCAATTTTTTAAAGCCAAATTTGAAAGTGAATCTTTGGAAATCAGATAGTAGCCTTGAAACTTTAGAGAACCCAATGGTAGATACTAAAGTCCATACTGAATCCGATACAGAAGTATCGGATAATGATTCGTTCCACTCAGATGACTTCCTGACTAATTCTAAATCCGATGAGGACAACCAGCTGACTGACTCTCTGGAGAACATAGGGCAGACAGACTACGTGCTGCCCAGCTGTGGAATCATTGCCTCAGCTCCACGGCTGGGCAGTCGGTCCCAGTCCATAAGCAGCGCTGACATGAACATTAGCATTCATGTTCCGTCTGAGATCCACGTCTCTCAGGCCAGCCAGTCTGACTGTGAAGACATACCCACGCCTTCTGCTGACAATGTGGAGATGGAACTTGCAAAACCTATCGATGTGTACTGCCAGAGGTTTGTGCACGATGCTCAGAATAAGGTGTCAGATGTTTTGGAGGCTGAGGCTGGTTCTCAAGAGCCCCGTCACATAATAAATCAAACCAGCAATAATACCTCTAACAAGGCAGAAGCTAAGGCTGAAGCTATCAGAGACATTCCTTCCAGGCCATCTAAGTTGGATGTACAGTCTTCTGAGCCAAATCCTCAGCTTTTAGCTGTTGGTGGGACTGACTTCATTACATCTCATAAAAGCCCAGGATCTGTGTCTGGTAACCTTGAGATGGGACTCCACATGACTCCTTCTCCAGCTGACAGCAGTGGCAGCAGAGCTGTATCTCCATTTGCTAAAATTCGCAGCTCTATGGTCCAGGTTGCTAACATCACGCAAGCAGGACTGACTCAAGGGATCAGCTTTGCTGTGGCAAAGGTCCAGAAGAGCCCTGCGGAACCAGAAGCTATCAATGAAACCAAACAAAAAGAACTGAGAGAAATGTTTACGCAATGCCAGACACGGATAATTCAAATTTAGTAGCTAATTGAGGAAGTGTTCTTCTAGTTGTGGCTTTTAATATAATACTAAAAAAACTACATCAGGACTCATTGTGGCATGAACTGCTACTGGATACTGGGATCAATAATACGGAGAACTCGCTTACAGGAAGTGAGAGATGCAAATGAATCTGGTTCTGACCAAGCTTTGGGATTTCCTCAGGTGGCTGAGACAAAAGAAGGGTAAACTGTGTTTAAACAGGTAGCTTAGACACTGGGATTTCAGAAGCATGCTGTCTGTCTTACATGTGTTGCACAGTTCTTTTTGGAGACTGATTTTTGTAGCTCTTCTGACTAACGTAGAAAGTATTTATACTAAAAAAGGTGATACTGCACTTCCGTGACCTTACTTACCTTGCACTGCACCAGCAAAATAACTTCCTGGAAGATGATGTTTTATTTATTTTTGGACTACTGTCTTTACTTGTTTCCATTGAAGTTTTAGATGCAGCTTCCTATGAATGGTGCCTGTACAATGGGAATTGGTGTGTTTTTGTTGAATTACTTTCTGTTTAACATAATTAAAGTCTTCTTTTTGCTGCCCTTTTCTTTCTACACATCCTGGGACACTTTCAGTAAAGATGAAAATACAGATCCAATCTGAAATATCCACAGTCCTGCAGTGCAACTTTAGTTTGTAGATTTTTTCTTTTTTCACACTTGTTTTGAGGTGAGGGGAAACAGAGCATATGTCCTCTAATTGTCTTGCCCATGCTAAAGCTATTCTTGTTTCCTTTTTTCCATATTCCTGGCAACTTGCTCTAATTTTTTGTCTCTGTGTAAAGCAAGACAAGCCAGATACTGGACCTTCAGGTGTTGTGTTCCTCTGTGCTAAGATTTTTTTAAAATATATTCTAATTTTCCAGATGCAAAAGTCCAAATAACGTCTAAACCAGAAGACAAGTGTACTGTTTCATAAAATCAGTGTTGCATTAGAGTGTAGCTGTCAGCATTTAAACAAAACCAAATTCATGACCAGCCCAAGCTTTGCATACTTGCAGGTTAAGGCTAAGCATCCACTCATGCTGAGAATTGGATGAAAACTCTCCTTATCTATGTGTGTCAGAAGATTAATCTGTCTAAATGACTTTTCCCAGAAATGCCTTGCCATGCCATTCTAGTATAGAACATTATCCAAAAGCTGCTGAAAAGCAGGATCTTACTATGCTGTGGTTTGTAACTATAACCACCATTATAGACCCAGTGCCTCTGTGTTCTAGTCCATGTACTGTACGTAGGCTGCACGTGGTGTTAAAGAAAATAGTGTCATATGGGTAGGGTAGTGCAGTGTCTTAGGACTTCTGGTGTGTCTGAAATGATTGTCATCTAACCCTGATGGTCTGAAACTTTGATAAACAAATCTGATTTATTTATTTGGTTCATTAAAGTGATGTGGATTTGGGTTTTTTGAGTGTCTATACTTGTGGCTATATTTAAAATTAAACTACTGCTGTATTTTAATGTGAGCAATATACATGAGATATTTTAATAAAAAAAAGTGGAATCAAAAGATGGCTTTTGGCATGTGATGTTAAGGGATATGGTGTTCCAGGGTTTTAAGTTTCAAAGGTAAATGTCTTGACTGTCTCTGGCTTAAGAGTCACAGAATGGTTGAATTTGGAAGAGACTGCTGAAGGTCATCTACTCTAACCCTCTGCTCAAGCAAGACTACCTCGAGCTGGTTGCCCAGGCCCATGTCCAGATGGCTTCTCAGTAGCTCCAAGGATGGACACTCAGCTACAGCTCCGGGGCAATCTCTTCTAGCGCTCACAGTGACAAAGTGTTTCCTGAGGGAACCTCCTGTGCTTCAGTTTGTGCTGTGGCCACTTGTGCCATTGCTGGGCACCACTAGAAAGAGCCTGTCTCTGTCCTCTTTGCAGCCTCCCTTCAGGCACTGACAGACATTTAGACCCCCTGCCAGTCAAGTGACACAGAAATTACTGAAGTCCTTTATCCTTTTCTTCCAGCACTGCCCTGCTACAACCCTGGCTTCATGAGAGGGGGGTGGGGGGAAAGTCATAGACACTTTTATGAGAACAGTCCTTAAAAACTGCCTAAGCCTTGGTACTTGTCAAGGTTCTGGAGGAGGGAGAGGAAATTCCAAGTACTCTGCCATTATTCTGGTAGGAGAAACTTAGAAGTCATTATGTATTTGTATAGACCAAAGCATCCTGTAGGGCACAGTGCTAATAGCTATAAAGTCACTCCTGTACTTGGCAAAAAAATGTGGCTTAGTCAACTGTCTGGGGCATATCTTCCTGGAAACTAATCCTGATGCACTGCATTGGCTCATTGATCCAAAAGCATCATGTCCTATCAGTTTGTGAATTGTCCAGTACTTATGAAACACTAGAGGCAGTCTCAAATAATCCCTGGAAGTGCACATCAAACCATCCTCTGAGCAGCACTGAAAAAATCTTACAAACCAACTGCTGCCTTTCAAAGAGAGACTTCCTTTTCTTCCAGTATTTGTTTGGTTGCTTGACCTTGTACGAAAGTAGCATGAGTTGGATGAAACCATGGATCTTCATTTCAGTGTTAAAAGAAAGAAATGAGCTGTGATTTGAAACTTGAGCCCTTTAAGATACACAAAAATTGTTTACCATAATAAATACTCAAATTATTATTAGTGTGCAGAGATGGAAAAGGAGAGTTTCAGCTTGGCTGTGCAGCAAAAAAATGACATAACATTTAGAATAGGTGAAAAACAGTTAAAAGAGGGGTTTCCTGTTCACAGTCTCAGTCATGAGAAAGCACTAATGGAAATTTGGCAGGAGGAGCCTTTCTTCTTGTTCAGAAAAGGATTAACTTAGGCAAACTCCAGAACTGGCTCCATCCCTGACTTGCAGGCTGGCTCCACTGGGACAGCCCCACTTACTACTCCATAGTCATTCTGGATTATTCTGACTCCATTTAATGTTTCACTCCTCAAACCACTCGTGTTAAACTAGTTCTGCAAGTCATAGTAGGGGCAGTCCATCCTCCGAAAAAACAGCTCAAACTGTACAGCATGAATAAGGTATGTGGAGACCATTCTTAATGCTCAACTGATATTATTCCAACAATTTAAACACACTGCATCACTGGTAATGTAGAAAGTAAGATATGTTTTGCATGAGTACATGAGTATCACCAGTTCTCCAGTCAAGGCTTTTTAAAAAGTTGTGTGGAGATTTGATAAGTTAGTCTTGGTCTTCCCTAAGTACAATAAAGATGTATGTCATGCTGGAACCTTGTCATGGATACGATCAAATCACTTCTTTATACCACAACACAAGCACTATTATGCTGCTGCTGAGTGCAACGTGCCCTGGCTCATGGAACAACAGTACACAGCTCTGGATACTGCAGTCAGGGCTTCCTTCAGCTGCAGCTGCTGGCTGGCTGGAAGCTCTGATCCTCCAGAACTCAGCCCTTTGAGAATTATGGCACAAACTTATTCCACAATAGAGCCTACCACTGCTGTGTCTGAAGGGCTCTGGGTTAGTTTTTCTTACTACTAAAGGAAATAAGTTTACGCAACTTCAGTATTAAAGTTTAATATCAAACAATTTGTCTTTGTTACCAATTTTCAATTACAAAAGAGGCTCCAAAAAAATTTCATAAAATATGTTTAACTGGCTGAACAGAGTTAAGCGTGTTCAGGCTGCAAGGGTAGAGATGCGTAACTTTTTTGTATAAATTATCTACAAAAACTGGTATAAACAATATTCCAATCTTAGTACAGGTTCCCTCTAGGATTAGACAAATTTTCACAGCGACATCCACCAAATATTAAAGTTCGTTGCCATTAACACACTTTTGCTGCTGGAGTCTGGCTTTACGTAACGCCTCCAGTTGCTTGGCTCTCAGCCACCTCTCTCTTGACAGCGTTGTCTGCCCAGCACTGAGAGACAGGAACCTGGAAGAGCAGAAACAGCCATTAAACAAGAGCTGCGCCAGGTTTGATAAGCTGATTCAGTACAAAACTGATTCTTTCAGTATCTTAAGAAGTAGGAAGCATGGGAAGAAAGCAGGAGGAGGAAATACTTTGCCTAACTAGGAATCTGTGCCAAGAGGAGCAAAGGAAGAGGCGATTCCACCTTTTGATGGCTAGCCGGCCTCGTGCAGCGACAGCCAAACTGCAGGCTATGAGCACTGACGGCGCGTGGTTACCAGCTTGCTAGGAAGGCCTCAGTTGGGACAACCAGCGCTACCCACCTTGCCACAAGCAGCGTTCTGTGCAGATCATCAGCTGTTATGCTCTCGGGGTCATTCTTGCGCATTTCTACAAAGTCTTCTTCTACCGCCTGGGAACAATACAGCATGTAATTAAGTGGGGAAAGAAAAAAAAAAAAATCTTCACTACAAGATAAGCTTTTAAGGAGCTAAACACCGTAAGGACTACCGAGAAACATTTCAACCTGTTACTGTCAAGAAGCCAGCCTGAGTGAAAGTAAGCTAATTCTCTCTCAAATCTGGAAAGAATTTGCTTTTAAAAGGGGTTTTAGAAAGCAGAGTATGTGTAAAGTACACACTGAAATACTCAAAGAGTATAAATCCTTGAAGGCACATTCAGGACAAGAAAACGCTTGTCTGGTTTTTAGAAAACTTCAAGGAAAATCACTGTCAAGGAGAACAATGGGAGAGGACAATAACTTTCTATTAAGGTGCTTCCTGTCTGAACGTACAGTTGAAAACATATTAGTGACGTCTTCCATACCTTGGTCACTTCGTCAGATATACTGTAGTCCAGCAGCCTCAATAAACTGAGATAAATTCGGAACTTGTTCAGCACAGAAGGGAGCACTGCTGTTAGAAGGCTGTTGATATACTCTTCCATATTTGGGGGAATTATCTGTGGTTGTAAGTGGACTTGGCAATCTGACTGAAAAAGAAAATTACATAGCATCTCTTTCCACATCCTATTTTCTTCTATTCCAAGACTAATTTAATCTCTAAAGCAACAGAAGTCACTGTTTCCCAGAATTAAAATAAGACAATTCATTCTTTAAATATTTAACTGTTCCCTTTTTG